GACTCGCCGGTCACTGCTGACCACGACGTTATTTAGTTCGCATCAGTAGTGTCACGCCGTTCCGACAGTTTCTGCTCCAAGCCCGCCTGGCCACTAGACAAGGATTCGTGATCGGCCACCTGAGGGCGGGCGAATTTTTGGCCGACGTCAACTGGTACAAGTACGGTATCAAGTTCCAGGAATGCCAAACGCACGTGAACAACTCGATCACCAACTCAAATGACAATCCCAAATTCATCATCGAAGCCAAATGGCACACCATCCGCAACGAAGGGCCAATACAGTTCGTGTAAGTAAAGTACTAAGTGGACGGTTTGGAAAACTCGTTTGGAATCGGTGTTTTCTGCTTCAGTATATGTAGCAGTGATTCGATGATCATGTACTCATAACGCACACTAACATAGACGTTTTTACTTTACTTCAACCGCTCCACCAAAAGACACTATGCGTTCTGAACAAAAGCACATTAATTTTTAGTTTTTGCCTTTTTCCCACCAAGCCACGTGCCACTGAGCGTTGCACTGTCCCAGTTTCGATGTTTCATCTACATAACAACAAGTAGAGTGGAAGGGACATGGCCGACCTGAAAAAGGTAGGAAGTAAAAAACACTTCATTACGTAAAATCATCATCCTTGAGACAAAATATTAAATCACTACGTCTAAGCAAGGCTCGAGCAGTGTACACCAAGCAAGGCATGGCCAATCAGTGAGAGGTATCTATAGTGGTACACAAAGTCAATAAATCACTCAGACCTCAAAACACAATGTCGCTGTCACCGTCGACCTATGAGACTAGTGGCTGTAATTTATTAGGTTTTGCATCACTTACTGGTTTTATTTGCTCAACCTTCCCCTGTTTAGTATCACGATTGTCAAGGACGCCGATAACTACTGGGTCCAGTGGCAGCCGCCCACTGGTTTAATATTTCCAGATCCAGCGGCAAGCTTCGAGAAGAAAAATTCCATCCACATAAAGGTTGCGAAACAGCCGTCGCCTGATGAGGAAAAGCAGCCGCTGGACGTTCCGGAGGCCAGAGCCTCAAATCTGATGAATGCGATTGCCGGTGGCGATGTCTCCCGCTCAAAAAGCGGTGAGCAGGTCGTGACGCCGCAGGGACGTGTGCGCCATTTAATGCTGAACAGCGAAACGAACCGCATCGTCGAAGATGTCAGCAGTTCGTCTCTGAACTTTGGTCACCACATGCGTCCAACGGAAGGGGGCGACAGCGAAGAAGAACGTAAGAGCTTTATTTGAATAAGCACGAAAGTTTTCATCGGCACAGACATAGGTCAAATTTTGCACCGTTACGAAAGTACACTGAGATTATGAAGTACTGCCATCGTACTGCAGCTTCAGTCAACAGTTAAAATCATAACTAAAAGATAAATATCATTTTTCAGATTTTATTTTGGTGCTCATCACTTTGAATAACACAGTTCATTTCGTTTTTGACATATTTCGTGAGACCCGCAAACTTCGAGAAGAGACTCTGGATAAGGTTCCGAAAAACATTGACCAGCGTGCATTGCTTTGGCGTGATATCGAGAGTACGGGATGTTTAAACAGATCGATGAATCAAGACCCAAGTTTGCAGCTATGTATCTAGCTGATCAGCTGCAGAAATAATTCCTTTTACCCCACCGATGGATTTTGGGCAGATATGGTAGTAGACATCTTGCAACCGCTAATTTTGCGGTTTTGAGTGATCGAAAGGGACAAAAACGTCTGTAAATATCTCTGTTTCAAAAATAGATACAGCCGCCGTCTTGTCTCGACAAATTTCAATCTTTTTACGGTTCAGAAATCGCAATTCTAACTAATGCGTTAACGCTATGGTTTTATACGCTCTCTATGCATGCGTGCATGATGGCGTTTTGCGTTGT